AAGACATCAATTTGACAAGAAGTGATTGTTCTTCAGGATTCATACAGGTAGATACCAATTGTTTAACAGCACGTCAGAAGTTAATTTAGATTGTTGAGTTTGAATATACAAAATTTGTGTCACTTTACTCATTTCATGTGTATGTCCATCGGTTTTTGATTTGGTTGTCTTTGTGTCTGTTTATTCTTCTGCCTGTGTCAGTTTCTGTTTGACAACAGAGCTGTCATTTTATCATTTTAAAGAAAATGGTTTCAATATGTTAGTTTCGATCACATATGTTTTCTGAAATGTTTTTTTTATATATCTTTTTTTTATTTTTTGCAAAATATTTTATTTAATGTAGAAGGTGTAAAAGTGAAGAAAACACATCTATTCCATGATTTCCATCATTTTCTAATGGATTCACTTGTTGAATTATGTTCATTGCAGTCTCATTTATGTTGATGTCAATAGCTGGAATATTGACATTATTGTTTGTTTGAAGTTCTGGTAATGGCTCTTCTTCATCAACGCCATAATAGTTATCAACATGAAAAATGTCATTTATAAACGACAGGATTCCCACATTGTTTGTGACACCTGTATGCCACAGCTGAAGAGGGGTCTGTCCTGCTTGTGTAGAAAGACCATGGTTGTTCCACTGATTGACAAATTCTGTTAATGCTCTTTCAATCCTTGGCAAATAAACATAATGCAGACAAAAAAGATGTAGCTCATTCAGTGAATCCAACATACCCTGTTCTTCCATAAAGTTAAAGATATTTATAAAGTGTCTTGATACAACTCTGTTGAGTTCTGCCCACAGTCTTTCAATTCTTTGGTTATGTACTGAAACACCTGTAATAACACTGCCTACTCCTCTTCTCTGTAACATAAAACGAGCAACCTGTATATTTTCCATAACATGATCACACCTGACCCTTAAGGGCAAACCAAAGTTTTGTATTCCTTCCAAAAATAATGACAAGACACTTGAGGCTCTGTTATTGGATAAGCAACGTAAGTATATGATAGTTCGGCTGAAGCCATCAACACAGCCATGCAGGACCAAGCGCCATCTAATCAACTTGTGGTTGCCGTCAAAATGCCTGTTGAGAGATCAGAAAGCATTACTACAGTTCCATATGTTTGTTCATATTATTTAGTAGTGAATTCCTGACCCTGTACTTAAACAAAAACTAGAGGTTTCATTTTGTACATTTACTTCAACAACAGCACACCTCTCTCTCTCTCTCACACACACACACACACACACACACACACGCACACACACACACACACACACACGCACACACACACACACACACACACACGTGCTTACACGTGCACACACATACACACAGTGGCATAAAATGTCTTTTTCCACACTACGTTTACCTGGCACAATTGATGTTAGAGATTAAAATTGTGATGTAAAATAAAGGATTAAACAACTCAACAGTATATACATTAGACAACATCTAATTTGATGTACTATGAATCCCCCAAATATTTAACATACTTATATCAATTTCAGTTTTTTTGGTTATTGTTATTTTTTTATTATTATTATCTTATGCTGATCATATAGATTAACTTCAGTAATGTTTTGAATGAAGGACCATTAATTTTGATGTATTGTGTTAATACTTTTAAACACAAGGCCTGATCATTTGTTTCAAACCAGTGAACTTGCCATAAGTGGTTGGGGGCCTGAACACTATAGATCCTTCGCCTTATCGCATGACGACGTCTAAATGCACATCCAATAGGATCCACTTCCTGTAGACTTTGTCTGACCCTCCAACGTTGAACTCTTAAGCCACGAGATCTCAGACTTCCAAGAATGTATACTTCCCCTGCATTTGGAGTGTTCTGTAGGATATCCGTCACAAGGCCATTCAGTTCTTGATTTGAAATATCCACATAGCTTAATGGCTCAACTCCCAAAGTTTGTCTGTGTCTGTACAGGGTTCTTCGACTTATTCCAAAGCATGATACAATTCTCTGCCATGTCATACCAATGGAAACAAAGTGAGAAATCTGTTCAGCAGATATAGTGTATCGTGGCCGACCTGGATGACCACTCAAGGTGGTTGGGGGTAACAATCTGTGGGTCACATAAGCAGATCTCTGTCTAGCATCATATTCATGTAGCAAGCTGCAAAAGCATCTATACAAGGATTGTAGTAGGTTGGAGGCAACCCTATTATTGGGATCATATCGAGATACAGCAGCAAGAAATTCTGATAGAGTTCGTGTATGATCATCTAGCTCTCTTGTCTGATATTGTCCGAATTTTCATTTTGGAGCGCCCCAATACATTGCAGAGCACAAGTAAAAAATCTTTCAACATCTTCTTCATTGGTTCTCACCTCAAACAACAAAGAAAGTATGTAAAAAATGACAAGGATCTGATGTAATTTCATTGTAGATGAGGTACTGTCAGACACAGTCTTTCCAGATTATACGGGCAGCTAGCATAGCCAGGATGCCCCGACTTGTTGCAATAGGCTGCTATCCTACAACAATGTTTGGATAGTCACTGATGAAGGCAAAATATTTTTCAATTATACCTCTAACAGACTGTTGTAGATGTCACCGCGGTGTTAGCTGTGCATTAATGTGTTATTTGTTTTTCTTCACCTTCCTGTGCAGCTAAAATGCCTTCCTGTTCAATTGAAATCCTCTTGGTTTTCATTAGTGTGTGTGAGAGCGTTTCAGTAGTGTGTGTGAGAGGTAAAATTTCAGTAGTGTGTGTGAGAGCATTTCAGTAGTGTGTGTGAGAGCGTTTCAGTAGTGTGTGTGAGAGCGTTTCAGTAGTGTGTGTGAGAGCTAAAATTTCAGTAGTGTGTGTGAGAGCGTTTCAGTAGTGTGTGTGAGAGCGTTTCAGTAGTGTGTGTGAGAGCGTTTCAGTAGTTTGTGTGAGAGAGCGTTTCAGTAGTTTGTGTGAGAGAGCGTTTCAGTAGTGTGTGTGAGAGCTAAAATTTCAGTAGTGTGTGTGAGAGCGTTTCAGTAGTGTGTGTGAGAGCGTTTCAGTTGTGTGTGTGAGAGCATTTCAGTTGTGTGTGTGAGAGCGTTTCAGTTGTGTGTGTGAGAGCGTTTCAGTTGTGTGTGTGAGAGCATTTCAGTTGTGTGTGTGAGAGCTAAAATTTCAGTAGTGTGTGTGAGAGCGTTTCAGTAGTGTGTGTGAGAGCGTTTCAGTAGTGTGTGTGAGAGCGTTTCAGTTGTGTGTGTGAGAGCGTTTCAGTTGTGTGTGTGAGAGCGTTTCAGTAGTGTGTGTGAGAGCGTTTCAGTTGTGTGTGTGAGAGCGTTTCAGTTGTGTGTGTGAGAGCGTTTCAGTTGTTTTTTGTGTGTGTGAGAGCGTTTCAGTAGTGTGTGTGAGAGCGTTTCAGTTGTGTGTGTGAGAGCGTTTCAGTTGTGTGTGTGAGAGCGTTTCAGTTGTGTGTGTGAGAGCGTTTCAGTTGTGTGTGTGAGAGCGTTTCAGTAGTGTGTGTGAGAGCGTTTCAGTTGTGTGTGTGAGAGCGTTTCAGTTGTGTGTGTGAGAGCGTTTCAGTAGTGTGTGTGAGAGCGTTTCAGTGTGTGTGAGAGGTTCAGTGTGTGTGTGAGAGCGTTTCAGTAGTGTGTGTGAGAGCTAAAATTTCAGTAGTGTGTGTGTGAGAGCGTTTCAGTAGTGTGTGTGAGAGCGTTTCAGTTGTGTGTGTGTGAGAGCGTTTCAGTAGTGTGTGTGAGAGCGTTTCAGTTGTGTGTGTGTGAGAGCGTTTCAGTAGTGTGTGTGAGAGAGCGTTTCAGTAGTGTGTGTGAGAGCGTTTCAGTTGTGTGTGTGAGAGCGTTTCAGTTGTGTGTGTGAGAGCGTTTCAGTAGTGTGTGTGAGAGCGTTTCAGTAGTGTGTGTGAGAGCTAAAATTTCAGTAGTGTGTGTGAGAGCGTTTCAGTTGTGTGTGTGAGAGCGTTTCAGTAGTGTGTGTGAGAGCGTTTCAGTTGTGTGTGTGAGAGCGTTTCAGTTGTGTGTGTGAGAGCGTTTCAGTTGTGTGTGTGAGAGCGTTTCAGTTGTGTGTGTGAGAGCGTTTCAGTTGTGTGTGTGAGAGAGCGTTTCAGTAATAATGTCCCTTACGGCACCTCATACAGAGCTGGGCTGTTCTTCAGACCTGCAGGTTGTTGTCGACCCGCAGCTCCTGAGAGCTGCAACGATCATGTTTTATGTAGCGCGCTGCTAAAGGTCGCTGTGGTTTAATTAAAGCTTAATCGCTGATCCCGGCGCTCTGAACCACAGAACAACCCAACGACACATCTGCCAGCAGCTGGTTTACAAATCAGTTATTAACCAATTAGCAGTGATTACTGATGGGGCCACAGGCTGCTAACAGTAACAACGATCAGCAGCACGATGGAGCCGTTTCTTTGGTACTTTCTGTTTATGCATAAACGATTTCTTTATGTGAAGAGTTTCTGGAAGTGTTTCACCAGGAAGAGCCGACCGACACTCCGTCAGTCTTCTGAAAGCCTCTGTTGGCTTTTTCACGTCTGAGTTGTTGAGTGAACGCCGCTGCAGGAGGACGTGCTTCAGGTCTCGACTCTTTTAGTGGCACAAACGTCTGTTTTCTGTGTCGCACGCCACGAAAACCCAAAACGCCCACATCTGACCCGAGCGACCTCCTGACAAGCCGCGTTGACGGGACGACGGCTCGCCTGTAAATGAGGTTTCTGTCAGACTGAAAGGTCAAGCGGGCACACTCCATCAGACGTGACAGCTGATAAAGACGCGGAGGTAAGACCGAGGAGTCTCCCGGCTCGTGGAGCTGTAATTGGCCTCGTCGCTTGGAGTGCTCGCACAGATGAAGCACAGCACTCGACACGCTTTCAACCTTTCGAAGTGACGGCCCGGCGGGACGGATTTCGTTTCAGGTGGTTGTGACACAGATTTACAACATGAAGTCTGACACGTTTAAAGACCAACACTCGGACGCTGTGTGTGCTGCGGTCTGGCTTCAGGGCCGAACCTGCCTGATGTGGCGTACTCACAGTGCGGGCTCTCCTTGCCGCCGGCTTTCAGCAGCAGCTTGGCGATGGGCGTGTTGTTGGTCATGATGGCGATGTCGAGCGGCGTCAGGCCCTGGCTGTTGGGAGTGTTCAGGTCCAGCTCCTCGGCCGAACACTGGTACAGAAGGATCTGCACGGCGTCCAGGTCCTGCTGCTCCACCGCCTCGAAGATGCAGTCGCTGCCCTGCATCGTCTGAAAGTGAGAACCAGCATTTTACCAGTCTGGACACGTGGTCACGTGACTTTATGACACAAACCAAAGGTGAAGATCATACAAACCTGGAGCCAAAACAAGCAAAACAACAGGAAGCTAAACAACAACCATCGAACGGCAGCGTTTCCTGATCCACAGTCGGAGCTTCCTGATGGTTCATGAGCCCACAGTGTCTGAAACACCGAGCTCTCTGGGCGCTCGCTTTACACCAATCATGTCATTAAGCAGCCGCCAGATGTTCCAGCAGCTGTTTGACATCTTTAAAGAACAGATAACATTTCTCAGTTTCCACGTGTCACGAGTTTAAAAAACGCCGCTGCTCGGATCATCTGTACGTCTCCCACCGCGCTGCTTCATCCCCCTCAGACCTCACGTGCAGCATCCTTTCAGGCGCCGCGGGGACATCACCGCGTGAAACGGACACGTATGACATGTGTGCACGATCATGTGGTTACCATGGGAACAGGCGTGCAGGAGTTTCGTCAGTGAGACGAGCCGTCCTCAGGATTCCTGATCTCTCCACGTTTGTGCCGAGACACTGTGTGTGTGTGACTGTGAGTCTGTCGGTGAGCTCAGGTCACATGACACTTTATTCAAAGAGGAAGCAGCTGAAAACGACCTTTTTGCTGACGTGGAGATGAGATGATTTGAGTCACTTTCACTCTTTAATCTGCTGATTCTGAGGCTGCGTCCACACGTACACGGGTATTTTTGAAAAAACGGAAAATCTCCGTTTTCATTTTCAAAAATAACCCCGTCCACACGTAAAGGCAGAAATGAAGGAAAATGCTGCTAGGAACATGCCAAAGCAACAGGTGGCGCTAGATTCCTAACCGTGTAGAAATGTTGGCCAATCAGAAGTCTAGAAGCCTCGGTGGGAAAAAGTAAACAAAGCTGGGGCATAGAAGCAGAACCGAGTCGTATGTGTGGAGGGACAGTAACTGTGTGTATATGTGAGCATTTAAACACTGCAGAGAGTAACAGTAACAGTATTGTAGAAATTCATTTCACCGAAACAATAACGTGGCGCACAGTGTGACATCAAAAAAAGCGCACACCTTTGACGCTGAGTTTTCCTCGTCCACACGTAAATGCAAAACCAGAGTTTTCGAAAATATCCACCCTGGCAGGCGTTTTTAGAAATCTCCGTTTTCAGTGACCGAAAACGCCGTTTACGTGTGGACAGAAGGTGCAAACGCATTGAAAAATCTGCGTTTTCTAAAATACCCGGGTACGTGTGGACGTAGTCTGCTGACTCGCTCGAGCGTCGGCTCAGCGTCTCTGAAACGAGCCGCCTGTTCTCACTGAGCTCACAAACAGCGAGTGAAACCGTGGCGACCTGAGATCTGCCATCGGTGACAGGATTCAACCAGCAATGAAAAGTCTGGATTCTGACGAGCTGTCAAAAACTGACCAGCAGAAACTAAAATAGAGCAGTTATCATGTATTATTATCATACTTAGTCACACTGAACTGGATTATTTTGTTATTATTTTAATTTAATCTTTTGTAAACAGCAAAAGAAGAATTTTATTATTCAGGGAAAAATGTTTCTTTACTGACCAAACTTCAAACTTTACTTTAAATACTTCAGAATTTTACATACTTGTACTTTATACTTTGTACTCAACAGTAATCACACTTTATTTCATTATAAGACTGGTAGACATAAAAAATACTGTAATATAATGTAACATGAATGACTGTAACTAATGATTAATTAGTCCGTTCATTTATAAATGCACTGTAATTTAAAACAATCACGCCAGAATATTAAAACTTTACTTATTTATGGGTTTTATAGTTAAACATTCCTGTAATTATTATTATAAATATACTGTATTTGCCATATATTATAATCACATCGTCATATTACACTCATCATACTGCAGTGTAATTACACTACAGTATGTCAGTTACAATGTAACTGCAGTGAAATTACAGACCCAGCCTCATGCTCTCATGTTTAACTAAAGTTAAACTAATTCTTCATAAACTGTATTAAACTAATTTATTAACGTCACAATGTAATTATAAAAATGTAATAATAATATTTATATAAACAGAATATTTCACTGTATTTAATTACAAATAATGTAAATACAATATTTATAATTACACTATAATTATTTATTGCAACTCTGTACTAAGATGTTTATGTGTTTTTCATTTATTATCACTACACTTTATATTACACTAATTATACAATAGTTACACTAATGTATTGTAATTACACAGTAATCTATTTATAATTGTGGCATAACCAAAGTTGTATTCAGTGTATTTGCACTACGTTTCTCGATGTTTCAGTTTAACCTGAATGAGAGAGAGACCACATGTCAAACCCGAGTGTTGGAAACGACTTTTTGAATGTTTCCTCCTCACAGAGTAAAGAAGCAGCGAGGAGGAAGCTGATGAAACGGGAACAAAGTGTTTCTCTGCTCAGGCTGGAAACGGCTCCTCCTTCACTTGTCTCTGTAGACGTGACGGCAGCGAGCGGAAACTTTTTGTTCTTTGTCAGGCTGACAGAGGGCGGAAGCGACCATCCACAGCGTGGCGGCTGCTTTCAGGTTTATCACAAAGCGTGTGAACAGAGAAACATCCTGCAGGCCGCTGCGTGGCTGTTATTGCTGAGGGCGGCGCCGCGCTGAGCTATGCCTCCTGAAACCACAAAGCCTTTAACAGAACACAGAGCCGGGTGGTGCAGGTGGAGCTGCAGACCATCAGACGCGACGTGGGCCCTGGTTCAAAGTTGGATCAGGCTTCTGGATTTAGAAACAGCTTTGAGGTTTTGAAGTGGCGACATCACCAGTGTCGGTTTGGGCTCACTTCAGTTCTGTTAGTGATGTTTCCACCTCTCTTTGACTGGATTCAGTCACCTGTGACTGGGTTTGGAGGTGTTTCCTGGACACTCGCCTGGTGGACCAGTCACAGTTTTTCAGTCCGTGTCGGTGTCTTTAGGATTAAGATCAATGGTTGTGGTTTTAAACTAGATCACGATCGTGAAACACTTGTTGTGTGGACTGAAAGTGTCTCATGTAGTCCTGGAGGTTTGCTTTCCTGCTGCCGAACGACTCTGAACAATCTGCAGCAGCGGTTCAACTTCTAAGAACTAAAGACAGTTTCAGGTGCAGCCCTTGCACAGCAGTTTGGGAACGAGCTTCCGTCATCCTGGATTCAGACGGTTTTGTTTGTTTCTACTTGTTACTCTGAACCTGGTGTTGTGTTTACACCAGAGATGGGTTTGAACTTGTTTGGTATGGTTTACTATCTCGACTGGTTCAGCTGATACTAATTTACAGCTCAGATTTGGGACGTCCTTGAGAACTCGCCACAGCTGTTCTGTGGACACTGGACTCCCATTGGATGGTTTTTGGACTTTGTTGGGGTTGGTTATTATCTTTGTTTTGGAGAACCTTACCCTGGTGTGTGTTTTGTGGATTTGTCTCCCTCCATCTGCTGCAGGTCTTTGTGAGTTTGGGCTCCTGCAGAATGAACACGGGACCTTTGGATGGTGGAGATTTGGACTGTGAGCCTAAACGTGAGCAGAGTTCTGCAGATCGACTCGTACTCGCTGTGCTTGGAGGCTTTTGTTTCCTCCCCCGTCTGCCTCTTTGTTTCATGTCTGCTGCTGTGGCTGGTTTGTAAATGTCAGCAGGCTGGCAGAGAGAGTGCGCGTGCAACATGACATGTAACACTTGTCACACATGATGAGTCGCCGCAACCAAATGTTTCGCAGGGCAGCAGGAAGGCGGCGACGATGGCAGCAGACAGAGACGAGCCTGAGAAAAGATGGCGTGTTGCTACAAACCAAAGACGGCGTCCACAGTGTCCTCGAGTGAGGCACGTAACTCCACGTTCTCAGTTCACCGAACTCTGCAGCCGTGGAGTGACGAACAGTCTGTCTTTACGATGCTGGTCTGAGATCAGATGAAAGACGCGACAGTCGAGAGCAGAGGCTCTGACGACATCGCCGGTAACAGAATTAGCGAAGCGCGTTTCTCGATCCTTCTGTCAGAGACGGGGTTTCCCCCGTCAGGCCAGCCATCGCCACGGCAACATTAGCACAAGAAAAAAGCATCACATGAACATGTGGAGAGTTTATCACAGCTTCATGATCAGGATACAGGAGTTTTTTAAAGACTCGATCTGAGCGAATACCTGAACATCAGTGCCTGCACGCTCTCTGTGTTACTGTAGCGTAACAGCGCTGTGACACCTGTGCTACCTGTAATTCGGTGCTATGTAAATAAAACTGAACACATTAATGATGATTAAAACACCTTTATTCATGTTTTTGTGCCGTATGTTAGTGTTTTTATTCAGAAAACAGTTTCCAGCTGCTGAAATGTGAAGCTTGTTTGCTGTGTGAGCGTAAAGCACGTCTGCAAACAGACTCAGCCATGCGGTGACAGGATAGTTTCACTGCTGACTTTCACACTCATCCCAAGACGTAAAGAGACTTCCTGTTTGCTGCATTGATGAAGACTGGATGAGTTTCTGCTAATTAGGACACAAATTAAAGCTGGAGGCTGACTAAGAGGACGCATTAGTCAGTGCGCCCCAGGGTGGCTGTAGCTACAATGTAGCTGCCATCACCAGTGTGTGAATGTGTGGATGACTGTGTAAAGCACTATACAAATACAGGCCATTTACCATTTACCATTAGCTTAAATGGATTTTTGAGCGATGAACTGTCAGAGTAACATCGGCCTCGTGCGGCTCTTTGTGTTCAAACCCCGCAGGATTCATGTCCAGCGTCTGTGCTGCAGTTAAAACAAACCTGCCGTGTTAACTAAGTAAAGTGATGCAGTGACCGAGGCGCGCCTGAACTCACCGAGGCTTTACGGAGCCGATCCGTCTTGCCAAAGAAGTAGGCATCTTCGAAGGAGGAGGTGCTTCCTCGCAGCTTCTCCGACAGGTTCCTGTAGAGGCGCTTGGCGGCATTGGGGGAGGCCGGCCCGCCGGGGCACTTCCTGGTCTGGGACAACTGTAGGTTCTGCATCTGCTGCGTTATAACACCCGGGAGGCGTCTGCTGGGATGGAAATGCAAAGATCGACGTTAGCTGTTGGGATAAAGCATCGGATAAAGACAAACAGGGATCACATGTGTCATCAAATGTTAATTACAGCTTTGGCATCCTCATAGAACCAGAGTTATGCTGAGCAACCACTGCTTACTCTGGACCCGTTACCATCACAGTCGCTGGAGGATCCTTTACATCAGTAATGCTGACAGACTAGATCCTAAAGCAGCTGCCAAAACCACCAATCAGAACCTCTGAGGACGTCCACAGTTTTACAGCACGCGGCAAAAGTCGAGGCAATAAACATGTCTGTGAAGGTTCTCAGTCATCCAGGTCATCGTAGTCAAAGGAGCTTGCAAAGAAAGCGTCTGGACTTCTTTAAGTTACTTGAAGACGTTTCACCTCTCATCCGAGAAGCTTCTTCAGTTCTAAGGTCAAATGGTGGAGAGTCCCAGATATAAACCTAGTGGGAGTTTCCCCCCACAGAGGGACAAAAGGACCCCTGATGATCCTCTAATCACATGAGCCAAGGTGGGAAACTGGGTGTGGGTCACAATCAGCCAGAGTTTCGGGTGTGTTCATTGTGAAACCTGGCCCCACCTTATCATGCGAATTCCTGAGGTCAGATGGCCCAGGATGTGAGTGGGCGTTAAGGCGTCTGGGGAGGATCTCAAAACTGGATTATAGATGGCAGAGAGTTGATGTCGTAAACCCCGCCTCTGTTCAAAGATGGTCGCTCACAGTGGACATAGATGGCTTCTTTCACTCCTCTTTCAAACCATCTGTCCTCTCTGTCCAAAATGTGAACATTGGCATCCTCAAAGAGTGTCCTTTATCCTTAAGATGCAGATGGACTGCTGAGTCTTGTCCTGTGGAGGTGGCTCTTCTGTGTTGTGCCATGCGCTTGTGAAGTGGCTGTTTGGTCTCTCCAATGTAGAGGTCTGAGCATTCCTCGCTGCACTGTACAGCATACACCACATTGTTAAGTCTGTGTTTTGGCGTTTTGTCTTTCGGGTGAACCAGTTCACTGCGCACATTAACGCTGTGGATAAAAACATCAAGTTCACCAGGGAAGACACAAAGGACGACTGTTTGCCTTTCCTGGACTGCACTGTGCACATTGAAGAGAACGGCAACCTCAACATTGAAGTTTACCGGAAGCCCACACACACGGACCAGTACCTCCTCTTTGACTCCCATCACCCTCTGGAACACAAACCTGGAGTAATTAGGACCCTACACCACCGGGCAGAACATGTTCCCTCTAAGCCTGAAGGAAAAAAGAAGGAACACACACATGTAAAGGAAGCACTCAAAACGTGCGGCTATCCTAAATGGGCGTTCTCAAAGTCAGCAAAGAGGCACAGAAAAGAAGACCAGACACCAGCGAGGAGGATAAGAAGGACAGACGCAACAACATTGTCATCCCCTATGTAGCCGGTGTATCAGAGACACTCAGGAGAGTTTTCTCCAAGCATGACATCCCAGTGTATTTCAGACCCAGCAACACACTCAGACAGAAACTGGTTCACCCGAAAGACAAAACGCCAAAACACAGACTTAACAATGTGGTGTTTGCTGTACAGTGCAGCGAGGAATGCTCAGACCTCTACATTGGAGAGACCAAACAACCACTTCACAAGCGCATGGCACAACACAGAAGAGCCACCTCCACAGGACAAGACTCAGCAGTCCATCTGCATCTTAAGGATAAAGGACACTCTTTGAGGATGCCAATGTTCACCCACTCACATCCTGGGCCATCTGACCTCAGGACTTCGCATGATAAGGTGGGGCCAGGTTTCACAATGAACACACCCGAAACTCTGGCTGATTGGGACCCACGCCCAGTTTCACACCTTGGCTCAGGCGATTAGAGGATCATCAGGGGTCCTTTTGTCCCTCTGTGGGGGGAAACTCCCACTAGGTTTATATCTGGGACTCTCCACCATTTGACCTTAGAACTGAAGAAGCTTCTCGGATGAGAGGTGAAACGTCTTCAAGCAACTCAAAGAAGTCCAGACGCTTTTCTTTGCAAGCTCCTTTGAGGCACTAAACACGTTTGTTTATCTCAGGTGAAATAATCCACAGACTCTTCCATTAAGTCTCAAACATGATTCAATTCATTAAAATAACTGTCTGTTACTCGAATCTCCATCTTTGACCAGAAAACTGTCAAATTATATTTCCCACAAATGAGCCAGGAGGAGCTGGTGTGAGCTTGTCGTGGAGCTGGTCAGGAAGCATAAAGAGTCAAACTTGATTAAAGATAATGAATATTCAGCCTTTATAAAAGGCTGCAGCATGTATAAAGTTTCAACCTGTCAGTGGTCCTGCTCTGCTTGAAACCCCTTCAGCCGTCGCATTGTCAAAAAAATCCATTCAGTTTTTGATCAGGCAGCTAAACGGCTTCCCGTCGCCTCCGGCCCTCGCTCGCTCTCCGCATTACGCCGGGATAAGTTCAACATGTCACTGAAACGAGGAGACTGTCAAACGGCTCCTGCAGGGAACTAAAGAAGAAAAAGCTGCTCTCGCTGCTCAGCCTGAATGGAAAAGAGAAGCACGTTGAGTCCTGTCAGGGTTGAGCAGCAGGCCCAGAAACTCGGCGTTTACCTGTTTGTGCTTTTGCCTTTTTTTCTTTTGCATCACTTTGCTCTTGCACGCAAAACAACAACAACATTTTTAAACAGGAAACATTCAGAGCTGCTTTAACTCACAGATTCAACACAGTACTGGAAACATTCCTTTTGGTCCATGGTTACATGACATCATCGCGACATCAGCTGCAGATTTGTCAGCTGCATCCATGAGGACAGTCCCGTTCCTCCACCTCCCAGAGCTGTTGGACCCGTGACTGTGGAGGCCGTCTGAGGGCAGTGGACTCGTCTCCATAAGCAGAGATGAGCTCCTGCTGGAGACACTGTGGTCGACGGACCTGGTCAGCAGCAACCGCTGACACGGGCAGGATGGACCCGTGCCACCAATGTCCACCAGCCGACGCTCATCGGACCAGGAAGTGTTTCTCCACCTTCCGGTGTCCGGGTTTGTGAGTCTGTGTGAATCGTAGGCTCAGCTTCCTGTTCTCACCGACAGGAGTGACCTCTGACCGTGCTGCTGCTCCCTGGAACTTTTCTTTGTAGACTCAGAGGTGGTTGGTGGGAAAATCCCAGTTGTGCTGTGTTCAGAGTCCCTGATTCAGAGACTGATGCTGCCTTGTGATTGGCTGATTATTGTTTGAGCAGGTGTACCTAATGAAGTGGCTGGATAGTAAATGATGTAAAAGATGAAGCAGAAAGTAACACCCCACTCAGCCCATGTGCATGAGTCTGACAGAGCTGCATGATGTGACGCCTCCAGCTGCTCCAGATGTTGCTGTAACACTTTTCCAGTCGTTATCATCATAATGATTCTGTGACGTCAGCTCGCTCTGTCCGCCGTTTGATGCATATTTAAGCTCAGCGTCGCCTCGTCACAAGCTTTCTCTTATTACTGCCTGACTCTTCTTCTTCACACCTGCAGCGAGGCGCCCCCGGCTGGTACCAATGAAAGCTGCCGCTTTGCCCAACCATCGTGGCCTCAGTCCAGTAAGACTCGCTGAGCCGCCACGCTGTGGCTGATTGGCTCACTTACTCCGCACCGTGTGTGTCACAATCATCACATCAGAGGGAAAATGGGCTTCGGCGGCTCTGTGTCTGAAACCAGAGCTTAATTTGCTCGCAGGATGGCGAGGACGGTCGTTTAGAATAGCAGGTAATCAGTCCGCTAATGAATTCGCCATAAAAACCTGCTGTTAGCAAAATGACTCATGATTTAATCCTGAAGCCTCGAACACAAAGGAAGGGAGACTGGATTAAAAAATACATCTCATTTTCAAACCTCTAAAACATGAAGAGCTGAACGCTAAACTGTGGGGAAAGCAGAGGCAAACATCACGTATTTAACACGATTCAGTGTGGCGGCATTTAGAGCAACAACTTTCATCAGGATGTGGGAAGCACAGAAATCATTCAGGAGCAGATGATACAAACAAGCGCCCATCCTAACAAACCCAGTGTCACCATGCTCTCCTGTGGACAGCTCGGTCTGGTACCATTTCTCACTAAAGCAGACTCACACATTTACAGCCCGTTCTGGTCTCCCCTTCGTACCCCCTGTAGGGGGAGACTCACTTTAGTTATGTATTACTAACAGAGCGAGTGACAGCGTAGTGTGACATGGAGCTGCTTCAACACCAGGAGAAGAAACAAACCTCCTTTGGGGTTAAGAATGGATGTGCAGCTGAATTAGCTGCTTACAGTAAGTAATGTGCTGAAAGCAGCTGTTCAAAAAACAGGACATAATGAGCATTGGAGCGTTTTAAACCCCACACAGGATTTCTGTGGATACAATTCAATTCAATCTATTTATACAGCGCAAAGTCACAACCACAGTCGCCTCACGGTGCTTTATATTGTAAGGTCGACCCTTACAATAATACATACAGACAACAATCATATGACCCCCTATGAGCAGCACCTTGGCGACAGCGGGAAGGAAAAACCCCCTTTTAACAGGAAGAAACCTCCGGCAGCACCAGGCTCAGGGAGGGGCGGGGCCATCTGCTGTGACTGGTATCCAGTATCCACCCAGCAGACTAACAGAAACCAGAGAGTCGTCACGGAGCGTGTTTTTAAAGGTCATGGAGCTCCACAGGGCTCTGTTACTGATCCTCTACTTTTATTTACCTTTCACTTATATTCTTGTTTGTAAAACGACAAAATGTTTCCTCCTTCAAAACAAATGCAGAGGGGAGGATGTTTTTATAACTCACCTGTTTAAATTATATTCAGGCTCAAAGTTTGCAACTGAACAGAGCTGTGGGCTGTGTTTATGCTGAGCCTTTCTAATGGGGCCTGACTGATATTGGAAATCTGCTGACAGAAAATAATGTTTACTTTCAGACATGAAACAAAGAGATTCCCTGAACATTTATTATGAGCAGCTCTATTATTTACTTGCTTACACCATTCCCCACTGTTCAGGTCAGCTGGTTGATTTCCTGGCATTCCAAAAATTTGTGTAGCCAACAGGGAAGCTGCAGAGTGCCCCCTGGTGGACAAACTATGCAACATCAAGTCTGAAAACATCCATCCAATCATCCATCTTCATCCGGGGCCGGGTCGCGGGGCAGC